TGATACCAATGACTGGACCCGCACTAGTGGCACTGCTTTACCAGCGAGTTGATACCCGACAAGAGTTCCCAGTGAAGAGCCCCTCATGTCTTCCGGAAGATCAGTCAAGATGTCAATGCCAGTGTTGAGGGGATGCCCAAGTCTTAGATAAGTCCTGTAACACAAATACGCACACAGACATACCAATGGCATAACAGCTCAGTCCGATTCATAATAAACAGCGGCAAGCGGAACTCAAAAGATAACAACTTTACCCTTCCACTAACAACAAAGGCTGATTCTTAACTTCATAATACGCGGTGTATGAAGCACAAAGCCTCCATATGATGAGAGTACGTGAACTAGAATGGTAAAAGCAACAAGCGTCTAACTACTGTAAAACATGTAATTTTAGGTGTATTAAGATTTCGGTGTCAGGGACCTGCCAGGTTTCAGGTGTAATGTAGAATTAGGTGACCAGCCTACCCTTCACATACAGTGCATACTCTGGTGCCTTTTAGGTGTAATCTAAATTTAGGTGCCTGGTTTCTCTACCGAAAAAACCGAAATTAAAGTTACACCGAAAATATCATGTTTTACTGTATGTGTTCATCAGTTGGAGGGAAAGTTGCAAAAGCGACAGGTCCGAAGAAACAAATTGACTGCTACTGCCAGGACTCGAACCAGGGACCCTCGCTTCTGGCCAGCGATACTCTACCACTAAGCTAAACCTCTAACTACGGCGTGGATATTGAATCAGCAGTGGCAGCACCTTACATACACAGTTAGCTCTCACCATAAGTCATGCGCGTTGATAGACTGGAGCGCCATGCACTCCAAGATCTCCAGAATAGGGCCATGCAGACAGTGCGTCTCCCGCAGCAAAAACTTGGGACAGCAGAAGAGGATGAAGCGCAAGAAGCCATGTGAGCTGAGCAGTTGCTTGTCGCTGTCGTGCTCGACGAGAGACAGCACTTGGTTGGCCACGTGGAGCTGCAGATTTGTTAGCCACTGTGCACAAAGGCATTGAACACAGGGCCATACACACAATACTCAATATACATATACATGTTCACCCTATCCAAGCCTACATGTTCACCCTATCCGAGCCTACATGTCCACCCTATCCAAGCCTACATGTTCACCCTATCCAAGCCTACATGTTCACCCTATCCAAGTCTACATGTCCACCCTATCCAAGCCTACATGTCCACCCTATCCAAGCCTACATGTTCACCCTATCCAAGCCTACATGTCCACCCTATCCAAGCCTACATGTCCACCCTATCCAAGTCTACATGTTCACCCTACTGAAGGTCGAGAGACTAGCAGCAAATTCATTGCAGGCGTCCATGCATAGATCTAGGTGAAGCGGGATTGCATTGTAGGGTAAAAAAGAAAGAAAGAAAAAGGGGGTACGAGTATACTCAGCTCCAGCACTGCCCCTCACCTGTTTAAACAGCCATTCAGTAGTGAGCATCGCCACCTTTGAAGCTCTATCGCCACAGTTCACTTCGGAATCATGCAGCTCTTCTAGAAGAAGCTTGTTCACATCTTCCACTTGCTTCCCACACGGCAAAGCGAGGGATATCATCAGATCCACCAGAAGCAACACCAGCACTGGATTCCGAATTGCACCTGTACAAATAAAACATCCATAGGAAAGACAAGAGAGAAAGAAGTCCACGTCAAGGCATGGTACAATGCGAGGAAATGTTAGGTTTCTGCATGAACTCTCTTGTGAGGACAACACGATAACATACTTGGTTGATAATACTGCTTATGAGCAGAGGTGCACCATAAAAAGAGATTCCGTGATGAATTTGATTCGCATACCAGCACCAGCTACAGCAACTTACCCATGACCTTCTCGGACGTCACAGCTCTACGAGGCTCTGCCCTATATGGAATGGAGCCATCGTAGCTGCCCTGCAAATTGCCGTCGGCCTTGCCCCGTATCAGCGCCGAAACCATGGAGAAGAGAATGGATGCCGAGTAAAGCGTTGTGTGCTTGAAAATCTTCTGCACAAGCTTCGAGTCCAGGTCTGCAACAGGCCACAAAATAGTGAACACACGGAGATAGGCGTGTGAAGAAACATAATGCATGAGGCTATGAGTTGTCCTACCGCTTCAACACGCTGTGCAGTGTGCATTGTATAATGAGTGTATGCTATGCACCACTCAGATCAGTGCTCGCAAGCACAAGCAAAGGACAATTACCAGCAAACCCTGATACCCAGGACCCACCAGGGAAAGAAAAAAACAAGGCTGGGCGTTCTTGCAAGTTGCCCAACTAACTACTACCCTACCCCACCCTGAACAACAGGAAACCCAAGCATGATCCTCAGAAGTCTCCCATCGTATCATACAACCGTAAAAACGAACAGCCCTCACCAATTTTTGCAGAAGCCTCATTGCCTTCATTGCTGAGACGGACATCAAACGGCCAGTCATCCCTGCTCTCATCACAGTCGTTGTTGGGATTAGCATAGTCCGGTAGAAGATCACTGGGAAGCCGAAACTGGGTAATTCTCCTGAAACATCCGAGCTGCTTCATTCCAGATGATAATCCCTGGAATAGAAACTAATAGCAAACAAAAAGCCAGCCGTAGTCAGAGAAATACCCTCCAATGGAAGCAAATATGATGAACTCAAATGGACGTGAGATAGCAATGCCATGCCAACAGAAGCTAAAAACAATTGCTCAAGTTTAGTATCCACGGACAATGCTTCGAGAACCAAAAACGACATTTTTCAGCAACTCTGATACGACTATGTAAAGGATACTTATCAATGGGTAGATAGACAGACATACCGACAAACAGACATACAGACATACAGGTATACCCAGGCAGACACAGATAGAAAAAGAAGGAGAGAAGGGGTCGGGGTCGGGTGGATGTTAGGTGACGTGGGAGAGAGTGTAACGTGACGTGTGCATGGAGATCGAGAGGAGGAATAAATGGGACGAGAAAGAAACTTAGGAAATGGTGGGTCCGCTCCAGCACACAGGAATTGGACAACACTAGCACGGTACCACTCAGGTCAGCCACAGACCCAGAAGAAACCACACGATCCTGGACAACCGAACCATGATGTTTGGATGCAACGTTGGAATGCAGCATTACTCAGTGTGCCATACCTTGCTTTGGATGTCTTCGCCAGCCGTAACAACCACCAGCAATAAAGAAGTTACAAAGTCGTGCAGGTCGTTCATGTCACCTACGCATAGCATGGAGAACGGTAGACGGCACAGAAACACCGTCAACAACAATATTACCGGCAGCACCATTGACAACATGCAACCGATATAAGAAGCGCTTTCGTACAGAAAGTGGTGCATGTGAAGCCTGGAATACAACAGCAAGCACAGCAAGCTTACTTTCAACATATTCGCTCCACTGCTCACGAGACAGGCACCCATGAACTTTCTCAAACATCTTCAGCAGCTGGAAGAAACCCTCGCACGCAGCTATCGACTTCCTGAAGTGGTGCGGCTTTGACCGAGAGCAACGCAGGAGAATATCTAGCACTCGCGTACATGCGTCGACTCCAGCATTGGCTTCATGCAGTTCATGCAAGGTTGCTGAAATACAAAGAGACAAAGAAAAAGAGAGGGAGAGAGAGAGAGGGAGAGGGAGAGGGAGAGAGAGAGAGAGAGAGAGATTGCTATTGCTATGGTGACATCAGGAATTCAACAACCATTTAGTCCCATGCATGCAGAGCAGTCATCAGACAATATGGTGAAAAGGGATAATCATTCCAAGTGTATAGGGAACGAGGAAATGAGCGTGTCGATGGCAGGATACAGTGAGGATAGTCAAAGTTTCAGTAGGGTACCAAAATCTGATTTGACGTGTGAGAATTAAACGGATTAAAAGAAATTTGGATTTCCAAACAATATCAGTAAAAACAGCAGTTGTTTGAATGCCAGGTGATAGCATGGGGTAGATTGCAATCATGACAAACCAGCCTATGTGAATGCCGTTGAGGCAAGGCTCAACAACATGATGATCACTTAGGGGCTATCAGGCATTATCGATAATTTTCACGAAACGAAAAAGTTTAGTTGGAACCCTCCCCCACCCACCCACCCCCTGAACGAAAAATAGATTGACTTGACAGCAAGAATGCCTTGATGTCTCACATATCAATATTTTTCAAAACGAAACTCCCCTTGACCCACCCACCCTTATACGAAACTTGTTCTCCTCGTGTGAAAGACCGATAATTATGGACGGCCCCTTACCCAATGCGGCCGCTATACCCAAGCCACCAGCATCATCTTCCATCACCTTCTGCTCAAGGAGAGCAAAATCAAGCTCACTGGCTTGAGTAGAAGCAACATTGCCATCCAGGGGGCTGGAAATGCCCTGTTTCCTTCGCGAAATTTTCAACATCGAGCCGGTTAACAAGCGAACCTCTGCCCTTCAAACCGTGTCTAAATCAGCGGAGATGATGAGCGGTTCATGGTGCGTACGGCTTAACCGCGCGTGTGATCACCGCCTTCCAGTACAGACCGCCACCACTACTGATAAACGCATACCCACACGTGCACACACACACACACACACATATACACACACACAGACACAGGCACACACCGGCACACACACACACACACACACACACACACACACACACACACAAAGACACATATCCACACAATGATTATGTTCATCCACAGACATGCAAACATAGAAACAATCAGGAAAAGGTCAGCACACATGGGGAAAATAGAAAGAACATAATGCTTGACAACCCTACCGGAATTTCCGGGAAAATCAAGGAAAACTCGCTTTCGTCCCGGTATACCGGAAAAGTTATAACATCTACCGGATTTTCGAAAATGTCCGTCAACACCTTTTTTTGTTGATTTTCAGTGTTTTGATGGCGCGCTCGCAGTGCTGTGCCTAAAACGAAGGTCTAGCGAGCGAGAACTTTTGAGTTAGCGCATGAAAAAGTACTTTTTTGTCGTACACGCTGTACTATTTGCGAATGTTTTGTGGTCATGGTGACGTCACTACGATGTCATATACAATATTTTGCACCATTATTATGTAAAAAATGCAGATCAAGGAAAAATGGACAAAATCAAGGAAAAACGTCATCAGTGTCAAGGAAACTGTTTGCCAGGGGTTGGCAAGGATGGAACATATCTATCAGAAACTCACAACCAATAATACTTCCCCAGCCAAATGCAGACTTACTTGGAGCACGACCAAGATCAGATAAGTGGCAGACAAGCATTGGCATCCTCTGTCCACTCTGCAACACAAGCATCAGTAGAAGAAAAACCATCCCTTTGGTCAACAACAACATTATGCCAGGCAAACCACTCTTGAAAACAACTGAGAGTGGTAATGCAACAAAAACAAACAGAAACAGACTGCCAACAATCTGAACGAGTATATTGCTTTGGGCTACACGGAATAAGAATAACGTTACTATTCAGGAAGTCTCACTATCATAGTGTAGCATGCCATCACTTATACCAGGTTCCTGGCATGTACCTGCTAAAGCCAGGTTTCAATTTGCCAAGTGCCATGGACTTCGCATGAACCTCGATATGGACTTCGACAAACTTACTTCGGTTCCCTGGCGGAAACCAGGACAGTTAATCATAAGTCGGAACATGTTGTCCTTTCTTTTATCCATCATCACATTGGCTCAACATCTCAGTTCAAATTTACTTCAGTTACGGTGCCGGAGTGATAACAAATCTCATGAATAACTTAGTGCCCGTGTTGGCGTACAGTTGAGTGCTCACAGCACCCAGTGTTGGTTGAATCATGCAGTCGGACTTCAAGTCTTCATTGAGGAGCAATACAATAGTCTGTACCAAAAGTACTCAAAGCTTGTGTGCCATGCACACTAAGAACGCGTTCGAATTGTCTTCATCAACTGTTCAAACAAAATAATGTTATAAAGAGATTAGTTGAAGTGTACCATTAGAACAGTTTCTATCATTTTAGAGTTTTTCAGTGGAATTGTCATGGCGATGATGACGTCCGATCAGATCGACCATCTCCACGCACTACGTGACGTAGCTATTCCAAACTCTTCGAAACTAATCCACCTCTCCCATCGGGTGAGGTTGTGGAGTTTCGAGGAGGTTCTAGGAGCTTCGTTTTTCTGAAGGCCACCTCTTCAGAAAAACAAAGCTCCTCGAAAAGTCAAAGAGTGACAATTTGAACGCGCCCTAGATGTGCAAGAAAACTATTTTTTTAAACCCAGTTCAATTCAGTGCTCTAGTTGTCTACGAACACATGATATGTTGCAACTTCGTAGCCCTGCATCATCATAATAATTATTGTTCCTAACTAATGAGTTCTTTACCTAAGCCCCACTCAAGCATACTACAGTACAAAAGCTGCTTTCAAATCGGAAAATTCCCACTTGGCTTTACCGTACTCGCACTACTACTAGTACTACGGGGACTGCAATTGGAACACCAAAACAAATTCCTGGAACGATTACGGATGGACGCCAGGAAGTAAAGCGATCACGATAACCGCCTCCTCATTGGCCGGCCAAATCATCCCAGGTATCATTATTATAATTATATCGCCTGCATTGAAACTGGCATTTGATCCAGCAGGAAACCATATGTCCGGATTTCCCGTACGTTCGAGACGCTTGCGCTTCGTGCTTTCTTCGTCGAACAAACGACAAGTCCAGGAAGCGCAAGGGAAGAGACTCGATGAGCATGCCAACAACCACCAATATGCAACACTTGCATCGAACGCGAAGCTCTGGTCTTCCTTACCTTCTGCATATACTGGGAAATTCGTCAAGGAAGATGAGGTAAATTAATTGGACAGCGGGGGATTGGTTCAACTTGTCAAACCCGTACGGCTATCCGGTGAAGTACAACAAATAACGCACCGCGGAGAAACTCCGAGCTGCTCCCCTCGAATTCAAAGATATCGCCTTCGGAAGACCACCGGTGAAAAGACAATTTTGTCCGAGATTGTTATCACTCACTCAGGAAGTCGACTCAAAGGTTCAACTTCAAAAGTCAACAAAATGCCTTTTCTGCACAAAACTGCTGACTGCTGCAGCGCGATATTGCGGAACTTCGTTTGCACTGGCATGCTAGTGACAGGAAGCATGCGCTTTGACATCAATCATGGCCATTGCAGCCCGCAAAGATCCCCGGGATTCGGATTTCGACACAGATCTGCAAGTACCGTAATGTCGCGTGCATTAGCCGGGGCTTATATGCCTATAAGCCGGTGATGGAGTCAGGCTTGTACACAAGACAGGCTTATAGTTATACACGAGACAGGCTTATATGACAAGCACCACTCAATGACCAGGCTTGTATGCGCAAACTGCTGACTTTTGGACGTCAAAACCAACATTTTCCAACGGGATTTTTTTTCAACTTGCCAAGGGACAAGACGGAAAATGCCATGGGAAAGGTAAGTTTGAAGCTTGAAGAGTGCTGCATGGCCGTCGAGCGCAGCTGGTGTTGATTTCCGCATCTTCCCACGTTTTCCGCGTGTGCAAGTGTACGGTACCATGCAAACATGAACATGTAAAAGGCGCGCTCAGCAGTCTTGCGTAGTAGCCCGGCTTACGCACGCGACACGTGGCGCGTCTCGTGTACTGGCCCGGCTTATGCATGCGACAGGCGTGTACGCGAAAAGCTGTTGCAGATTTCATGCTTCTACACGAGACAGGCTTATGCACAAATCCGGCTTATGCACGCGACATTACGGTATATGGCAGGAATATCCAAAAGTAGACCTCTTTTTCTAGAACATACCAAAAGCGTCTTCGATCCACGCTCGGTGGTGCGCTTAACGCCTGTGTGCGTGTACTTAGCTAGCTTAGTAGTAGCTACATATATGTAGCTAGCTACCGCGCAGGTGCTGACAGTGGCAAATCAACGCTTCGTTCCTGGGTCGAGGCAGCAGTTTGAGAATCATGCGGAATCGCGCAGATAGGTTGCGCGACAACTACAACGACTACGCGGGCACAATTCAGTTTCACATCATAACCTTTTGAGTTTCAATTTTGGCTTCTGCGACATAAGAAGCTGTACATCTCAACTGGGGACTGGAAAAAAACAGTGGTCACCTTGGTGAGGCGGTCCTACATGCAGTATATCGCACTGCAAATATAATTATGCTATTTACAGTGCGAAAAAAGCATAGGCAGATAGGTGCGTATCCCTGCATCAATGACCATGATCAAGCATGACTGCTGGCCGGGAGTCTCACGTGTGCCGGGCCAGAGCTGCCATGCCACCTCCATACACGTCCTGCATTGATGCGCATGGTGCAGACTGCAGAGTGATTGTGGACGGGTGGCCGTCGGTCGTATCACCGAGCAAGTGGTCACCTTGTCCGAGCTGTTTTGACTGGAAGCGTGCCGTCCGGGACGAGGAAACGTGGCCAACTACTTGGTCAAGTGGCGGTCTTCCCAGGCTTTTCCCCATGGCATTTCCTTGTCGCGCGCATGAATAACGGGCAGACATTTATAACTTCTCGATCTCCCAAACGGCCTCTTCACTGCACAGTGAACAACAGACCTACTGAAGTACACTTCAGCAAATTTCTGGGCCGGACCCATCATCAGGGAGGAAAAACTATAGAAATAGACGACAAAAGGCACTTATAGAAAAAATCATTTAAAAAAATTCACTGATCGCGTGAGACTAGGCTGGAGGCCGAGTTTTCCTTATCTGCAGGAACGCCACCACCCTCTAGGATCAAGGCAGGAACGCCACCACCCTCTAGGATCAAGGCAGGAACGCCACCACCCTCTAGGATCAAGGCGCAGACGCAGCTCCTAAGCAGTGGGAGGTGAGTAGATCAGACCCACCCTTAGACCCTTAGGTGTCCTAATGTACTTATAGAAGCATGGTGAGAAGCAAACACTGTAAAGACTAGCATCCTGGTGTGGATATGAGAGTTCGGATGTAATGAATAACTAAGTGCAGGTGATGTATGTTTCAAGTTTCAACAGTAGGGGGTGTGAGCGCTCACGCACGCACGCGTATGTGTACGGGGGGGGGGGGGGCTTAAATTGTCTACCTACAGACATGAACAGTCATGGCACCAGAATTACATATGGCCGTAGAGCCCACACATGGGGGATAACGGAGCCATGTGCTGAAAACAAAAGGACAATGCTATACACGTAGTGCCAACACCTACAGTCTGACCAAACACTGCACATATGCACTTCACAACTTGCTCAGCCGCCTCCGGCCACAGTCCCTGTGTTACAGACGGATGCCTATCACAAATGAACATTGGTTCACGACTATGGCGATTGGCAACGGATGACTCGGTGGAGAGAATTGTAGAATTAGTGACAGGCATTGCGGTACGAGATAAGATGTTCCGACATCGGCGGTAATTAGTAAAGAAAGTGTGTGCTCCGAACGTCGGAGGAAGCGCGAACTCCGAGGTATTGCGGTGCTCGTGTCATGCAGGTGGTGCAGTGCACAGTGTACTTGTCACGGAGTATGTAGTGCTCTGGTCTCTCTACAATGCTACTCAACCTGCCTACGAACACTTCTCTCTGTCTCACTGATCAGCACACAATGAGTACTGTAAAGTGAGAAACTTACGCTAGAGATTAAATTTCACTATTTTCGCGACCATCACACATTCTTTTCTAAGCACTCGCAGACTCCATTGCAGCCATTCACACATTATAGAGTACCTCACTTCAAACTCTCCAACTACGGTCTCTTCGCTGCATATGTTCACTTCACTTCCAAAAAAAACAAATAATATTAGATATAAATTGAATGCACCAAATTTTCGGGCATGGCCCATCTTCAGGGTGAAAAAGAAAACCATTCAACTAAAGCCAACAAAAACTGAAACGAGTATATATGCTGTGTGGTGCGGTAGTGCTGGAAATCTTTGTATGTGTGAAGGGTAGCAGCAATGGTGAAGTGTGTTGGTAAAAAGGGAAGGAGCGAAAGAGACCAGTGGAGAGCTGTGTCTGTAAGTGTGAATATGTGTTAGTGCGATGTGAAGGGAAAGCACGAGAAGTGTGGTTACCAGCAGCAATGGTGAAGTGTGTTGGTAGAAAGTGAAGGAGCCAAGTGGAGAGCTGTGTCTGTAAGTGTGAATATGTGTTAGTGACATGGAGAATAGAATGCAAAGCATCAATGTAGTTGGGTCCATGGGTGTGAAGACAAAGATGACGACAACTATTTGCTAAGCACTATATAACCATATAACCATATAACCATATAACCAGCTAGCACACATAAACATCAAATATCACATATTATCATAATATATTCGCAACATCACAGTCTACCACAATTTACAACACCAGCATCTAACACAATAATTTCACACTGTGTCCAGCAGTCTCCAGCCACGATCCCTGTTAACACTTGGGCGTTTATCACGAATGAACATTGCTTCACGTATACGACGATTCACAAGGGACGACTGCTTGGCGAGAATTGATGCGTTGGTGATGGGTGTAGATGTGATTGCTTGTTGTGGGTGGTGTTCTGCATAGTGTTCTCCCCATGGCGTCTCCAGCGCTTGCGCTTTGGCCTCTCTGCAATGCTCCTCAAATCTCTTCCTTGCAGTTCGCTCGGTCTCGCCAACGTACTCCTCGGCGCAAAGTGCACATAACATCGAGTAGATAACATCCTGAGACAAACACTGACCACTCTCCATACCAGCATCACATGCACGACATTCAACTGGTCGCCCCCTCCCTCTTCTCTTCTTATACACTTCCTTCGGGCATTCAGGACGGGACAATGATGACGATACCAACATGTCCCTTAGTGACCGACCGGACTGGAACACCACACGCACATCCTTACTGAAAGACCTCACCGTACGACGAACATCACGTGCCAAACGATCATTGACGAAGGGCAGTTTGATGATGGATGTGTACGATTGTTGTCGTTGTCTGGTGGATGATGGTCTTGGTGTGCTTGCATGGTGCTTGGCTGCTTGAATAGCGTGTTGTGGGTAGTCGTTGTCTCGTAGTAATGTCTCGATCTTCTTCTCTCCCCGCTCCCTCCCCCTGTCGGTTGACGCGTTGCTATTTGCGCGCCGAAACTGCTCCTGGGCAACCGAACGCTTCACCCCCAATGGCAATGAAGACTCGTACGATAGATGGACACCACTATGACTGGGCTTAACGAACAACTCCCACTGCACAACACCACTCGCCACAGAGATAGACAAGTCGAGGTAGCTGACTGTGTGCGAGACATTCTGCTGGGTGTGTTCTACTGTGAAGCGTATGTCTGGGTGTCTGCTGCTCAAGTACTGCACGAACTCCATCAACTTGACAAGACCATGACACCATACTACCAGACAATCATCGATGTAGCGACGATACAAGCGAGGCTTCCACGGAAACATAGCCATCGCCTCCGACTCGAGCTTCGACATGAATCACACATTCGCGAATATAAATCGCCGCAAAATGCTCTGTACATTGATTGTAGACTGTAACAGATCCAAATGAAGAGATAAAACCGCCAAAGTTTCTCATCGTGAACCAGCCCAATTCATGAAAACGCAAACTTTGCGCGCCGCAAAAGTTTATCGCTTTACAGTACAACATTGAGTAGCTGACATCCTGAGGCAAACATTTAACACATTGCAGACGAACATCATACGCACACACAACACTCAACTGGCCTTCAGCGTCAATTCTACTTGTCTGGGGCAGGTAGGGCGAGACAAGAATGATAGCACCAATACGTCCTTTAACGACTGATTGGATTGGAGCACTACACGCACGTCTTTGCTCAACAAAAGGGGAGTACGGCGAACACTACGAGTCAAACGGTATCAATTGCAAATGGTACGTCGAGGATGGCTGTGCGCGCATGCTCTCAGCGTGGTATGCGTGGAATACAGCCATGGTGTTTGGCTGTTTAGATGGTGTGCTGTGGGTAGCTGTTGTCGGTAATTACCTATTCTACCTTTTTCTCTCCACTGTATTTGCTGGAATTCGTTGAAGGACTTTCTTTTGTGTGTATGCCTGAATTATTCTTGGGCGGCTGATCGCTTTGCTTGCAATGGCAACGATGACTCGTAAGACAAATAGACACCACTATGACTTGGCTTGACAAGTATCTCCCGGGCACTTTACAGCACCATCACTAGCAGATATAGACAAGTCCAGGTAGCTGATGGTGTGCCTGTCATCCTGCTGCATGTGTTCAACTGCGAAACTTGATGGCTGGATGTCTGCATCTCAAGAACTGAACAAACTATATTAAGCTGACGAGACCATGGCACCACACCACACTGCACGGTCATCAATGCATCAATGATACAGCCAGAGTTTCCATACAGCCTTGGGCTCTTATTCGAGAAATACGGTACTATTTTTTTTAATGATTTCTGCTGTTTCTCGCACCATTTAGCTGGCTCTCGCGGCTTGCTACTGCTTTCTCCACCTGCGGAAGCTCTCTTTCCTGCTGCCATGAGCTGCGTCGTTCATTCCCTATCATCTACCAGAAGTAGTCACTGATGAATTCTGGAGAAAAATGTTTCTGTCAAAAAAACCAAATCAGTGTCCGTTGGTTGTGGATTGGCTAGGTTTCTATAAATATATGATCTCGCGCTGATCCAGAATGCACGGGTACGCATGGACAGTGCCATTGGGTGCCGGAAATAAACAGGCCCGGTACCCACCAAGCTCAGCATAGTGGGGCGTCTCGACTGCACGTGAACTGTGATACCGTAAAGTACCGTTGATCCGCCCCCACGCCGTGTCGCTTCCCAGCTCGTTTTTCGGCAGGGGGCGGGAATTGGATCAAGTCGTTCAAGTGTACAACAAAGCAGAAGATCAGACCTGGAATGCTGGATTGTGGAAATTTTCATCTGCACTCGCACGTATTGTGTACAGCAGTACATGCGTCGGTTCAACATCGTATTTCGTTGTATACGTCGACGTCACTTCACAGGAAGAAATTCGACAGGGGGCGGGAATTAGAGAGGGGGGCGGATCAACGATACTTTACGGTACATGAAAAATAAGAGGCTACTACAATGCTGATCCACCCCCCCCCCCTCCCATTCATACTACGATGCTGATCCCCCCCCCCCCCCCCTCCCATTCTTCGGTACCCAACAGCATTGTAAATAAAAAGAAGGAAATTCAGTGTCTGATGTTAACGACCCTGAGTGATGTCTGCAAGACAGAAGCGGAGTGGACGCTGGTTAAAACGTATGTGGATGTGTGTGTATTTTTTAGTATTAGTTCATAGGGTGTTCTACTACGCGAACTATAGTATTATTGTACATTATAATTTATTAATAATATATTATGAATGTCATAAGTGTAGAAAATGGGATTAACGTCATGGTAAATCCTACTTTTAAAATTAATAGGGGGGGGGGGATAGTGCATTCCACGACTTGCTCAAGACACCTCTTGATCGTCGAAACGCATTGAGGTCAATACATGTACCTTGTTGACCACTAAGCGCAGTACACTAGGTACAGTAATACAGGCACTTTCATTCGTAGAATTTGCATTTGTACTTCAAAATGCTAGCTGAAATTGTGAGTGTCAATGTAGAGTACACACAGTGCGATTTATATTCGAAGATGAGTAAGACGCAAGTGTTTGTAAACATAACACTGATGCCGGCTGTAAAATACTGCAATCGCGATCTGTGTAAATTGTTCGACACGATGTGGGCATAATTAAATGCCGTGAAATTGAGTACATTGTACTTGGGAGAAAATGAGCATTCGTACAAATGGTCCTCACCTTTCTTTATTCCGGAGTCAGCAGCATAATTTGACAGCTTCCGGCACACAGCATACACCACTTGAGGTGCTGCTACCAAATGCTAACAGCTGGCAGTGAGAGAAGAGAAGAAAGATGGGATCTCTGAGAAAGAACTTGCCAGAGTTACATGCAATCTTTGAAAGCGAAAGATCAGCAAACCACACTCGTATCGCTGACTGTACGATGACCCTGTTTCCTGTGCCACTCCTGATCCCCAGCAGCAGGGTGTACTGTGGACCGGACATGCATTCAGTGACCATCATCAGCCCATATGCCCAGCGCAGCACGCAGAGTCTACCAATCAATGGGCCACTGGCATCGCAGAGTGGATATCTACCAGGGAGTCGTAAAATACGGTATTTTACGACTCCCTGATATCGTACCATCGTCTACCAACTCTCCCGTACTCGCGCAGTACATGCATGCAGACTTTGCATCCAGTGCTATTCGCGAGCACGGATGCAGAACGAGGGCTTGGAGTTGGAGTGGGAGCCGTTTTCGACTCCCTTCCTGGCTTGACTTTCTGTAGATCTACCAAGAGTACATAAACCTTTATGTACTCTTGCATGACTAGTAGTCCGAAATCATCCTGCCTCCACGCAATCGAACACACACACACACACACACGCACACACACCTTTGACGCCCATCGCCACAGGCGATGATAGCAATGCTACGGCAGAAGCCATAGCAACTTGTGCACACACACACACACGCACACACACACACACACACACACACACACACACACACACACACACCATGTACCATGTACCGGTATACGCCCGTCGCAAGAGAAGCACGCAAATCTGCAAATGCACTGGATGTGTACCCACAGATTTTCTCTTATAGCAACGATAGCGAACAAGATCTGAATGAGACAGATCAAGACTTGCCCCAGATATCTGTCTAATCCACACAACTGGCGAAGCCTTGTGAATCGACCACCAATACACACCTGGTCTACACCACACGGAGTACATCGGCATAAAACGGCCAAGAAAGTTACCTATGCACACCCTACACTTGCTGGGGTAACCAGTATAGACAGCACACTGCTTTGATAGAAGCAGACACTAGAGATGCACTGGTACCTTGAAGTGAAATTGGAGGGGGGGGGGGGGGGGGGGCACACACACACACACACCTTGAACCTTGAACGCCCATTGCCGTAGCAATGATAGCGATGGCTTCCTCACGCTGAGGCTCTTAACTCAAAATCTGCAGTATGGCGCATGCCGCTTGAGGTCACCA